CTGTCATCTCAAGAGTGGGAAAACGCAACTTCAATGACAAACAAATACTACGCCGGGTATGTGCGCACTAGTGAGGAAACTGATACAGCGCAAGTGAAGAGTTGTGGACGCATTTGACGTTAGTCCATATCTGTGGTGATCTGGCTGGTCTCATCTCATCAGTCTTCAAAAATGTGCAAGAGCCTTTATTTTTTTCGTTAGAAGAAGTTGGCCCAAATGACTCGTAGCTGTGCTTCATCACAAGTCATTTGTACGGTTGCTTCTTCATGTGGATGCCAGAACTAGATGTAAACTTTTTTTCAAGAAACCATAAAGGTTTACCTAGCACAGTTAGTATCATATCTGTGATTATCATGTCAGAGAGTCCCTGTGGGACAAGTTTTAACGAATTCTGGGGTATATCAATATTGGGCCACCTAAGTGAAGTGGCCATTTGCAAACATGATTAACCATATTTCAAAAGCGAATCAGCTGCCTCTTCTTGTACTCAATACGACCACTACTTCCTATTTGCCTATACCATGAATCCTGCTTCAAATAAACATCAAACTATGAAATTAGAAGCCAGCCAAAATCTCGTCTGTCCCATTTTTCGCCTGCAATAGTTGTGTTTCCAGCAACTATGAGTTAAACGAAAGAAAACGAACTTAGCTGTAATCAATTCTACAAAAACTAGGAGATTTTGCTATCGAAATGTACCTAAACTGCTTCGTAAAATTCTCCTTGGAGGTAAGTTAGTGGGGTGTGGCACAACCCTTAAAAAGCTGTGGCCGCCACAGCTTTTTAAGGGTGGTGCCACACCCCATTAACTTACCTTCAAACCAAACAAATGTCTGCGTTTTTTATATCGTTGCCATTGTCCAATCATCTTCCTTACACAGTAGGAAAATCATTTGAAATCGTTTCTTCTAGGGAAAGATATAATCGTTTTCCCTTACCTATGCAAATGGAAAACGCTGCGAAAATATTGGGTTACGACAACATGCCTAGTCTGCGCTACTATGCAAATGGCGAAAGAAGGCGAAAAGTATAAATATTTTTGATGGACTAAGCCTCATAATTTACACAAAATTTGAGCCTGACCATTCCTCTCTAGTCTGAGATATTGAAGGCGGAAAATGGAATAAATGAGAGTTTGGCTTGCTCGTAATTCCATAGTTTGGGTGTTATTCGAAGTGGGATTCCTATTGTGAGCAAAGAAGCAGTAGTTCTTTGTACTAAGTGCAGAAAGAAGTAGTTAACTTACCTTTGAAACGAAGGTGACATGTTTGAAAATGACTGTCTCACTTGGATTGCCCAATACTTGGAAATTTCAGAATTCGCTAAAACTTGCCCCACAGGGGTCATTTTACATTCTAGTTACGAAAATGATGCTCTTAAGCTTATAGTGCTCTTTTATTACGCCTACTGTACGTATACGATGGTAGACCAAACCATTAATGTGCTAGTCTTTACACAGTGCCTATCTGCTCTCGCAACATTTTAGCCGCGATGCGCGTGGTCCGCAGCGTTCAAGCAGTCCGTGCGGACAATGAATCGACGATACTTGTTAATTACTTAATAATGGAACTTTTCAAGGCTACATAAATGGCACATTGCTTCTTAACGATGCCAGTCAGTATAAATAAAATAAATGAGTGGAATAGCATGTTGTCTTTCTGTTCCCTCTTTTTGATTTTTCTTCTGAAATTTTTGGAAACAAGTAGTACCGAAGCAATGTACTTCATTCTTATTTTCAATTTAGGATAGATGCAAAAACTGCATGAGGAAAAAACGAGTTTATTGTTTTCGACCAGTTAATCCGACCTACAACCCACAAAATTTGCAAAACAGCTTTATATCAAAGAAACTGGATTGGGGATAACTGTGGATTGCAAGGAAGGGATAGATGTTAATGTTTTCCAGTTTCTATGGCAAGTTCCTGTTGTCCGCATGTTGTCATATCACATGCGCATAGTTGAAAACTCAATTAGCTGTGAGATTTTCGGGCGATTACGATTACTGCGTACTACTCTTTGTTCTCACAAAACTCTGACTTCTATCATAACAACGCATCGCACATTGATGCGACCTTTTTTTCACCGGTCTTCAAAATTTTTTTCGCACAAATTCAAGTCTCAAATTCGTACGTTCTAGGTAGGTGTCTTTTTTAGGTTTCCTTACCTTCCTCCTTCCTGAGCAATTATTTTAAAAATATATCTTCCCACACACATTCTGCGCATTCTTTCGACCAAAAATCTTAGGAACTTTGGCGGTTTCTCTGCCAGTTTTTAGCGCTGACTTATTAATATTGACTGCAAGGAATAATGAATTCTTTGGATCGTTGCATATGTTATAATTTTTCTTTGCTCAGTTTCCAGAAAGAAGCAGCTCTTTGTTCTCCCTTTTCTGTTAATATCCAGCCAATACGACACCTTTTTTTCAAATTCTGAAAATCTTGAATTTGAAGTTCGATCTAGTAGGTTGATGAATTAATCAGGCGCCAAAAAGTTCGATAATCGTTTTAAAATGTAAGAAAATCATCTTCACAAACTTCTTATCACATGCAATAATTGTAGTACTTATGATTACTTCGGTACAAAATCATAGTGTCGTGTTCGGAAAATTTCGAATCGTAGCCATTTGTGGGGATATCAGATCCAGAATTTACCTTGAATAGATAGTGTAGTTCGAAAAACAAAAACCTAAAATGAATTCGGATTGAACTGGACTGCTTAGCACCTTCGGTGATTAAGCTTGGAGCAAAAACCAGCTTGTACGCCTTATGTTAAGAATGGCTTCTCAAGCAGAACTAGGAAGCGCATGATTTGCTTCCTCTGAAGCACATCGAAATGACTAATTTTGTCAAAAATGAGAATTGTTGGTGTTTACTATCTTGAGTACAAGACTCTTGCAACATGTAAGTAATTTTCAATGTTGAATGTATCTGCCAATACATCGGAGATCAAAAAAATGCTTTTAACGTAAGCTTTTGCTTCTGTTCTACCAACACATTTATCAGAAACGATTAATTTTTACTAAGACCTATGTAATCAACTAATTCACTGAAAGTGCCAGAAAATGAGTTGTATTGTGCAAGGGATCAGCAGTAGTGGGACTCGGTTTTTACTCAGCACCCGTTCTAGTTTTCTACCATTTGCATAAAAAATGCTGAAAATTAATCAATTTACTCTCAGTGTGATGTCGACGCTGCCTCCACATTATTCTTTCTTATCTACAAAACCAAGCAAGAAAATATGAACATTATCATTCCATTCGGGTGTTTTCACGAGGTAGTGATACTGTTTACAGTCAAGCAGCTCTTAACAAACAAGCTTTGCCACCGGGATTGATTTTAGCCTTGCACTTTAGATCTCATTTACTGTCGTACCACTGTGAAGTTTCCTGCTGGAAAAGTTCTTATTTCATGCTTCGATGCGTTCAAAAATTACATGGAACTTTATCGTTTTTCATGTCAACGAGTTAGGATGACTATGCTTTCTTATTAAACTCGTCTGCGAACCTGGTCTTTACTGCTCGAGAATGGACATCCAAACTGGAAAAATCATACAATAGTTGGCACATAAGTTTTGCAACTTTTCTCATAACCTTTTTCTTATTCAGTGTAGCAGTCTCACTCTCTGGCATCATGTAGAATGTAATGCAGGCTGCAAGTCTGTGCAAACCGTTTGATTGTCGACAACGTAAAAGAAAAAATCCAGGCATTTTCGAAAACTGTTGAAAATCGAGGTTTTACGGTGTTTTGGCAAACCTAAAGCCGCACAAAAGCTGAATCAAACATATCAAAAAGAAATTATAGGCAACATGTAGCTAGAAGTTGACACATTAGAGTCAGTAAAAAAGAAGTGAAGTTTAGAGACAAATCAAGATAGGGCGCCTTCGAGAAATTGAACAAGTCAAATTTGGAGGGCAATCTGCCAATAACTAAGTTGCGAAACCTTAAAATTCGCTAACACTTTGCACTAGGGTAATCCAATACGGTAAAAACGAATATCATATTCGCTTGTCGCTAAGATGAAATTCATTCCCCGACCTTACGAAAGTGGCCTTTTTATGCGAAACGGATTTCATTTCTGTAATTGGCATGTCGAATAACCCTATAGGCCAAATTTCAGCAAATCTGGCGCTATCTAAAAATTTTCCCATCATTCCGTAACCCTCACATAAGGTGGCAAAATTCGGCAAAAATGTCTGCATCTGTTTACATCATAATCCCTATATTGCTAGAGTATGAATGCGCTACGAGAAAAAACAAAATTTACATAAAAAGTTGTTACTTGTGTGCCAACCTAATAATAATTTCTCCTCCTTTTTGTAAGCCGACGTAAACATTATAGTTCCCCACACAACCCCAGTTAGTGGTAGAAATGACATTTTTAAGTTTCGCATGGTTTAGATAGGAATGTCTCCGAATTCATACCTATTGCGATACACTCGCTGCCCGTCTTGTTCCTTTACTGATAATTTCGTGTCGATATCGTTTACGTATAGCTTCACTGTTTTTTCATTGCTCTTATCCGATGGAGTAACATCTATGACATGACAAATGTTTTACTCGGATGCGATGTTTTTAAATTGGTTTGAACAAGCTGATGCTTGAATGTTATCTAAAAACGTTCTACCCTGAAAAAAAACCCAACACAATTCGATTATTCTCCCATTTTTAGATTGGCAAATATAACTATCACGTGAACATCGTAGGACCAATTAAAACTCTCTGACAGCAGTTATCAAGTTTTAGATTAGATCTAGAGCAATTCTGGAGAAAGTAGCAGTGTCGTTGATGTGTCATTTTATAAAAAGTGGCATGAAAGCAGCAGTCTTGGGGATCAATTTTCTTGGGAGAAAATGAGAGGGAGGAGGTTGTATTGCTTGGCTTGATTTTTTTTACTTCGAATAAAAGACATTGATAACCTGTTTCTGATGCTGCTTGTACAAAATTCTTATTTTTGCAATGCTAAGACACAAATTCAATCTTTGACATTATTTAACATTTTCTCAAGGCTGGTATAGTACCGGCTTCGCTGGGATTTGAACCGACACTTGGAGATGGTTGCCTCCTTGCGCATGCGATGGGCCTGGATAGCGGCAGCACCTGTGCTCTTTTCACCAATCCTCTACTTTGGCATGGTTCGTTTTTCCTTTATTGTATTATTTTACTAGTATAACCTAATACTCCATCATTTTTTCCATTCTCATATTTTTATTTTTATCCATTATTTTTTGTCTCTCACTACTTTTCTGCTAGTAGTATACCTTTACTTCATTTATATTAAGTTGTTTGTTTTCCCCATCTTTTTCCATCATTTCTTTTATATTTTCTAGTAAGTTTTTGAGAAAATTCTATCAACGCTGCAAGCTTTTTAGCCCTTCAGAAGCGTCTACTGTATAGTTCTGATCAGTTCATTCTGGATCATGGAAGTAGCTCCTACGGGCATCGTATCACTATTGCCCATATTTTTATACCCAGTGCTTGGTATTAGCTCTGCCAAGTCTATATGTCTGGTTTACTTCAAGGTTCGCGTTACAGATTTGATCACAATAAAGTTGAGAACAGTGCTTAGGATTCAATTGTGCTCTTCATTTGCACTTTGATAATGACGCTAGCAGTGGAGGAAACGAATCTGCACAAAAGAGTAGCTCTAAAGTTACTTTGTAGCGTTGGAACGAGAAAACAAACGTGATATTTTTTTTATTTTCTATGATGAAAAAAGATTAGAGAGATTTTAGCATGCTGCTCGGATTCATGGGAACCACGGCTTTTCTGTGAGTTTTACTTTTATGTATTCGTAAACGATAATACTAAGAGCTGAGTTTTGTTTAACTAAAACTTATCTTTTGAGTCTCTACTCAGTTAGAGCGTAAGTACAGTAATGAGGAAGGTTCGGAAATGAATAGCCCCGGTTACAATTTATTTAAAAAAGCTGTCGCTTGACCTATGCCCTAATGAAGCCTCTCAATCATATCCATCAGTAGCGAGCCTTATGCTGAGAATTTAGCAAGCTTCCTAGAATATGTTGAACATCCGAAGAATCCGCTAAGCAACATTTTTCGACCGCCACTGGTATCTATAGGAGATCTATGTATCCAAATTTCCTTTGACTCTCCTCGAAATATTTCAAAGTAAAGTAGATCTTCTTTGTTCCATCGCAAACTTCATTCAGATCATTTTTTGTCTCTGACACTGCATGTACGGCTCTGATGATTCCTATAGCATTAGCCATCATAAGGACTATTACCAGGAGTACAGAGGCAAGCGAAGATGGCAGGTGCTTTTTCTCCGAAAAAGCCTCTGAATTATTTCTTAACTTGATTCGCAGAAATGATGCGGCGACGGTAGAAAGTGCAGCTTTCAAACATCTGAAGAAAGACGAGCGAGGATTTGCTAAGGTAGAGATTCCTACAGTAGAGTTAGCTATCGTATCCACGCTATTCAGGCTCTCGTGCTTGCATGTGCACATGGATCGCTTATCGGTGGAACTGCAATCATAACATCAACTGGTCCAAACCTCGTTTTTCGTGAGATTATTCAAACGTAGAGTTTAGAGCAGGATTTTGCTGACAGGTTCTTCAAATCCGTTGCAGAAATTATGCTGAAAATGAAGTGAGTGTATCTTATGTGCAGTGGATGGCATTCGCAATGCCTCCCATGTTACTGTACCTAGCGTCATCGTTTATTGTTCTGACGGTAATCCACCTTTCTACATAATTCAATTTTTATTAGTGACTCTATCGAACTCTAGTGCTGCTTCATGGGTCCTCGCCAGCTTTGTACATGGTTTACTCCTCAAACAAAAGAAGAGCAGCGAATATCCGTAGCTGTGGAGAAGAGGATACGCACTGCTTACGATGAGCTTGGAGCAATAACGTGAGCTTTTCGAAAGTTTGAAAAGTCTGCAGGAAACAGTGGCGCAAAAAATAATTGGCCATGAAATCAGCTGCAAAATCTACTGTGTCGTGATTTAGAATAGTTTCTCGGAAAAACGTTTTAGATTAACGCAAAATTTTACCTTAATTCAGAACAAAGCTTTCAAATGCAAAGTACTTAAAGTTTACTAACTACAAACTTCTCATCTTCTGATATCCACGTTCTACCGTACTTGTATTACCATAATCTATGGATTACCGACAGGTGGTAAAAATTCGCTCAACAATTTGCTTAAAAAATTCGCTCCACAAAATTCCGGCCGCTAGGAGAGAGGGGAAACAATTTTTTGGGATGTTTTCCAAGATTTTTGCTTGCACATTGACGCCCTTGGAAAAACTTTTTCACACCTTTCGGTCTGCCACTGCTATCGACATAAGAAGTAAATTCTAGTAAACAATGCCTCTAGACGTAATTTGAAAGCTTTGGAAGATCATTTGTACCATGTAGAAGCACACGCAAAGCGCTTAAATCGTTTTGATGTAATCGCATCTCTTCTAATTTTTGCAAAATAAAAGCAAGATTTCGGTTCCTACATCGCGCATCAGTTTCTTTGTGATCGCAGCGATGATTTACAAAGAGTAGTGAACCGATAGCGAAACTATTTATTTGATAGTATACAGTGAATTTGTTAATTCTTCTAGCGCAAACACGAATAACCTCGCTAAGAAATCCAAAAAATTTCAGCCCATAAAAAATGCGTGAAAAAATTGAAAAATTGAAAAAAAAACGATGGATTTAGAAATAGCGTTTACGACAAAAAATCTACGGAGCTCTCTAGAACATTATATTGAAGTGAGACTTGTCTATGGGAATACATTGCTTTGCGAGAGTGTATGTGTTGAAAATCTATAACTTGAGATATTGAAATAATTTTAAATGTTGTTCAGATTTGGAGAAAAATCGGTGTGTGCTTGGTTCCTGATTCTCATGGCCTGCTGGATAATGCGCAAACCTGGCTTTATCCCCGGCTGGGGCGAGCTTTTTCCTGATCATGGGTATCTCTTAATCACATTCGAAAGTGCTTGAACTGCAGCTTCCTATAGGAAATTGCTGAGTGACACCGTACCTGCAATACTTGTAGCTTTCTTACTGTTTGCATGGCCGAGAGATCCGTGGGCAAAAGGTTGTTAAGTAGTTCACAGTTTTCTTGAACGGTTTCACAATTTCTAGAGCCTGTGCCAATTTTGAACTGGAACGCAATGAAAGCAAAGTTTTCGTGGTCTTGCATCCTGCTAATTGGAGCTGGCTACGCCATATCTGAAGGAGTACAGGTCAACTAGATTCTGTATTTTGGGATTATTTTGGTATATGCATAATGGTTTTTGATTCCAGAAATCGGGACTTTCTATCCTGATTGCATGCCTGATGAAAGACGTTTTCGGCAAGCTTGATCACGTCTACCTCTTATGTAAGAAAGGAAGGTTGAAATCAAAAATCATGGTATTTTGTTTAGTCGCTGTGACCGCTTCGATCACCTTTATGACCGAGTTTGCAAGCAACGTCTCAACAGGAAGTGTGTTCATCCCAATTGTGTTGACGATTGTAAGTTGGCTTTCGATATTACAGCGATAACAAGGGAACTCAAAAATTACAACTTTAGGCCGAATCTATTCATATTCATCCACTTACTCTATCGTTACCGGTAACCGTTGCTTGCTCGTTTGCTTTCATGTTACCGATGGCTACACCTCCAAACGCCATAGTATTTGATACAAAGCTTGTCGGAATGCTTGAAATGGTCAGTTACAGTAAGATAAATAGTAGTTTGATGGCTGCGATAATCTTATCCACAGTGGGCAGGAGCCCAAAAATGGCGTTCTGTTGCGCTTATTGTTTCCGCGCTGCATAAACAGCTGTTCCCTCCTTATAAAACCCTTCTTATAAAACCTCAGTGAGCGCATTCTCTCCCAACAGCTTTTATCTTACAAGGCTAAAAAATTAAATCGGTGATGGCACGAAATATTTATGATTGCAACTCCGCTCGATTTATTCTTAGGATAACAATATTTTTTGGTTTACAAGGCGGTAAAGAGCACGAACCCGATTGGAACAGATTGTATTGCTCGAAAAATCAATTTATTACGTCAAAACGTATTAATAGATTTTCAAGCGAAAGCTCGGAATTACAGAGCGGACAGAATCATGAAAACCACAACATTCCCAAGATGAGTTTTGGTGATAGGATTGGCTGAATGAAAAAATTGCAGCCTGACTTAACTTAGGAAGAAATCAAGAAATTTTAAATTTGGCAGTTTTGGCGAAGCTTTGTTTAAGTTTGATTAGAACACATTTTTGGGAACATTGCTAACATCGAATTTCTTCGAAGCAAACGTGTGAATTTTGAAACTCTGCTAACACATTCGAGACAACACGATCCACCGGTGGTTCTAGTTCTAAACACTGCAAAAACGATGAAACTACGTGAATTTTGGCACATGCTTGAAAACCTCTAACATCTAATTACAACTTTCTTTTTCTAACACGTGTGATTCCAGTTACTGAGTGGTATTCTACTGAATATCTGCTGCATTCTGATAACAGTTCTGAACTTGAGTACATGGACGCATTGGTTGTTCGATCTCGGCACCTTCCCGCAGCTCACGCAACACTACAACGGAACACTTGATTGCTAGCATTTCATAAAGTAGATCATTACGAATGATGACAATTCTGATAAAAAAATATCATTTGCCTTAATAAATGAAGAAAATCTTCTCACAGCTGCTATTTTGTGGAGTTTAGACAACAACTAGCTCAAAGTATGGACTTGATGTTGTCCATAGTTTCAATGGAACTGAACAATTACATTGAAGGAAGTCAAGGTTCGATCTCTTGTAGTTGTGCAGATGGCAACAAGGGAAAAAGGATGCAAACGAAAATGAGCGTTTTGAAGGTTATGATGGAAGGACGCATCGTAGTGTAAAAATGTTTTGGCAGAAAGGAAACAGAGCCAAATTACAAGGATAATACTCAGAGTCTAAAAAAGTCAAATGCTTATTCACATAATTATAGAAATATCAATATAAAGGTCGTCCCGAAAGTAAGTTCTTTAATAAACAACGGCTATATTTCGCGGAACAAAGATTAAATAAATCAGAGACTCCATGCAGTTTTCCATGCGTTTTCAAATTAAATGCATAGCATGCTTCTAAATTCTTTTGTCGCGAAATGTGGCGGACTTTTCGATTGCTCCCACATCACCCTTACTTTTTGGCAACACTCCAGTGGAAGTTGGCGCTACGCCAGATTTGGGCCTGCTGGCTGGGAAAAGACCGTCTATAACTGCGATTTCTATGTGCGAGCCGTTATAAAATACATGACAAACTGCTTTGATTTACTAATTTTTGATGTTGTTGCTGATGACAGATCTCGACTTGAAACAGAGTGAAATATTTACGGATTTGACACTTGCATTTTCAAAATATTATCTTCAACATTCATGTTTATATTTGATTTGTAATCAGGTCGAACAAGCCATAGGACTATCTAGTATATCTCCTTACAAAATTCAAATGCATTTAGAGCGTTGAGAAACACAAATCATGTGCTAATTGATGTCCCAGCTGGCGCTGAAATTCGCGATTCTTGACATGCTATTTATACCCAAAAAAGCTAGAACTGAAAGCAAAATTTTCAGCAGAAACTAAATCTTCCTAACAAGTCTACATAACATCTCACTAAGTCTTGAACTGAAATGAGTCGTTCTTTTGCAAACTTTTCTAATATGGGGAATATCACTTGTTGTCTATCCTAACCTTTAGCATGACCCGGAAGGAAAAAATAGTAAAAATATTTGGATTTTTGTTTGAAGGAAACCAGTGGTTATGATTGTGTCTAATTATGTGCCTTACAAATATCAACATAGTACGTTCTTGGTAATAAAGACTTTATGTCCGTAATCGAAAACTAATCATAATATTAGCATCGTGGCATACCGCCAAAGAGTCAAGATGATCAGGAAGCATTTGTATGAAAAGCCTCCCCCCTCTTCCCAAAGCCGTAGTGGAAAATCTGACTCATTATTTGGGTCGAAAATTGCGAAGTATGAAGGAGGAGCGAACCGGAAGGAGGAGTGTACCGCCATAAAGAGGGAACTCGCGCCTTATCAGTCCCTATGCGGATTCCAATATGAGGCCGGGTCATCAAGGCACGTGAAAAAGAGCTGAGGTAATGTCTTGTGTATAGGTGGTCGTCTTGTGCTATCTAGGGTGAGTACTTTGCTTGTGAATATGATTTTGTTTGCATTAGCTTTGTTTTCGGATGATAATTTGGTCTTCTGTTAACGTCTGGGCGAGTAAGTTCATATGATTTCGGCTTGCAGGCTCTGAAGAAGGCGAAAGCGCCGAAGCGTTAGCCGTCAAAAAAAAAAACTGAAAAAAAACTGCGACACTCTTGGAGTACCGCTCACAGCATTATCCACAATTGCGAAGTAGGGTGACTGGTGCGAAGACTACGTAGGTGCGAAGTCCCCATTTGTATGAAAAGTCCCTCTCCCGTGATGAAGTTTTTGAAAAAGCTTCATTTATCATTTTGTGAAGCTGGCTTCAACTTAGAGCGAATCATCGGTCGCTTTTCAATACTGTGGGATTACGGTAAAAACTTCATCCTCAAAAAATGTAAAAACTTGTGTGGGTTTTCGTGGACAGTGAGTTGTCAATGTCCATGACGAGGTAATACTCAACAATGTACAAATTTGCAAAGCTTTTTGAATGGTGTAATTGCACTTTTTAGGAGCATTGAAAAACGGCCGCTACTGCTTACCTCCATAATTTTTTAATGAAGCACTATATAAGTTGCGAACCTCAAATTTAGAACAGCAACTTAATTAGCCCACCGTGGAAGCTTTCAGGTTGTTTTGTTTTCTTTTTGAGACAAATTATGGCTCAAAAGCGTCTTCAAAGTTCCTACAATCCTACAGTACTGGCGAGCAGTCTGTAATCCGGGAGACGGCCCTTCCGAACCCACTGTCTACTACAGTAACCTCGCAAGTAGGACGCAGGCCCTGCGCTGCGGTCATTGCGGACGCGTCTTAGAGAGGGTCGAATGGCGCGTATTGATCGATTGTCACTAATTAGAAGGAGCAGTAAAAAAGTTCAAATTTAGTTTGCTACTACCGGGATTTCAACTATAATCCTCCTTACTATTTCTAGTGAGATGACAAAAGTTTCGGATTTTGGAAAACCTCGCTTTTGTGGAGTACAAATCACTTCTGACAATGGCGACTGCCGAAACGCGCACCTTTCGACATACACCCACGAGTCTTCTGCGGAACGCTTTATTTTCGAAAGTCACAGCATTCAGATCTGAACGCAGTAATAATCCTCATCTTATCCAGCCTCATTTCTGTAAAGCTGCTATTCGCTCCATTTTGCTATTCTACGCCTAACTTTATAACGTAGTTTTGAACTTCTTGATTATATGAATGAAATGATTTCCTCATCTCATTTTGATTACTTTTATACTGCCACATTTTGTTCGCGTGCATCCTTTCTGCCTTCACGCATTCTCACATGTTTAAACGTTGTTAGCTGCAAAATGCGTCGAGAGGATAGACACGCGACCCGATCCACAATTCAAAGTACAACAGATGGTTTTCCATGACCTCTGCACGATACCTAATAGATTATAGTTTGCTCTAAGTAACTTCCGCTCAATACCAAGGTATTTGTTTGTAGCATCTAGTTTGCGCAAACGCTGCTCATTTCTCGCTAATTTTTGCGGTTGTGCAATAAGCCACTGCTTGTAGATCAAATTTCTGAGCCAGATTTTGGAACTTCTCAGCTCTCACGAAACAGTAATATCCACTATTTTCCTTGCTAGGAACTAGGTTCAAAACTGGTAAGTATTGTATGGTTTACATGAATGCAGCCGCTATAATGCGCGCAGAAAAACTGTTGGCGACCAGCTGCATTAACAAGAATCTCGGGTCTCGGGTTATCAGCAATAATCAAGCCAAAAAGTGTGTTTTCCCTGCAAGCTTCGTTTAGTTCACATAGCAAATGAATGTGATGATACACGATAGAGCAAAGATTGCACACATAAAGCAAAAAGAGCTACCAGCACACACTTAACCAAAAGTAGAGTACTTCAGTAATCGAAGCAAAGAAACACGTCAATTAGTGGATAGCAGCTAGTTTATTAGGTAAAATGGCAGAATACAGCATTCGGTTGAATCATCGTCTGCGACATCTCTATCAAGGGTCTGAGGGAGGGAGGTCATCACTGAGGTACTCGTCCATTTCTGCAGCGCACATGCTTAGGTCAATCGCTCGCCTTATCGAAGCAGCCGATTAAGGCGTGACCTCTGAGACGCGCTGACCTATCGTAGCCATCGCGATTAGAGCGGGTTCAGAAGGGCCTACACCCGGTAATCCGCTCCGTGCCGCAACGGTAGGCACATCTTTTTGGGACACCCTATATATCAAATGGCTGATCAATGTACAGCGATGAACCGATGTGAAATATAACATCACCTTAGAGCCTGATACATCTTCTTCGGCTATGGTACCCTGTAAATAAGTGGGATTGGCGGCTGGCCCAAGGCTAGGATCAGAGAGGGCGCTTGCGAGAGAGGCGCAGACTGCGCGCGGATGCGAGGGGTCGCCTTCCAGCCGTTAAATCTAAGGGTAAAAGGCCACCTTGAAATTGCTAAAATGTAGTTCATTTTTACCCTCAGGCTTCATAGTCCTAATAAATCCGCAGGTCGCAAGCGAATAGGTAAAAGCATTCAACGTTTGTAACATTGGTGGATTTCAACCTTTGGTGATCCAGCTTGGGCCACTAATCGCATATGCCTGACCTGTACTTGTGAAATCTGATATACAGGGTGTCTCAAAAAAATGTGCCTACTGTTTGATTCTAAATAACTCTCTTGTAATGAAGTGCTTCGAGAAGCTTTAGGTACCGTTTTGTAGAGCGAGGCTGAACTTAGATTTACAGTATGGAGCGAATCATCGATCGCTCTTCATTATTGTAGGGCTACGGTGAGAACTTCCAGCATATGGAACCATTGTGAAATATACCACCAAACAAAATTTTTTACAAAAAATCTGAAAAATCGTGTACTAGGGTTTTCGCGCATGCTGATTCCACTTAACAACTTTTTACGAGTGTTTTCAGCTTTTTTGACGGTGTAATTACCTTTCTGACAAATGCCGGGAATTGATTTACTACGATTTACCGGAAATAACTTAGGAAAGAAGCATCATAGTAAAATGAGAATTTCAAATTCGAAACCAGCGGCTCCCATTACCGTAGTGTAAGAGATTCCGGCTTGTTTTCTTGTTCCGAGGCAGAATATAGCCTCCAATGACCTAAAATCCTTGTCGAAGTTCGTACCGTAATCCTACAGTAAAAAAGGGCGACAAATGATTCGCTCCCATACTGTAAATCTAAGTTTAAGCTCGCTCTACAAAACGGTACCTGAAGCTTCTCGAAACACTTCATTACAAGAGAGTTATTGACAATCAAACGGTAGGCACATTTTTCTGGGACACCCTGTATTAGTAAGGCAGACGACTGTGTGATCACTATGGTAGTAGATCTTAACACATATTTTCATCTGTTGGTGTGTATACGAATAAAATAAAGGAAATCTGTTCTCAAAGCACATCTGAATAAGCCACATAAATCAAAAACCGGAAGG